GTCCCTCATGGTGACACGCACATAAAGAACTGTCACCCTATTATACTTCATTAAATTCACTCTATAACAACCATATTTTCCTAAGTAGGTCTTTTATTTCGACATTATTCCATTCTCTATCTCTTTCTCAAATCGTAATGCACCCCAGTGGGAAAGGGACATAAGAACAAATTTGTCAAAAACCGGAGCAACTGTCATCGGGTTTCAACCAATAAATCCGTAAGGATGGGATAGCTATTATGTCTGATATGACAATACACAGATTGACGCGACCGAAATCTATAAACTTTAAAAGTTAATACGCGCCTGTTGCATACTTTGCCAAAAGAATTTAAACTTAACTGCATGGATCAAAGAGTCCAAACTTAGGGGTGTGCTAATGAATTCGCAGGTAAAAGCAAATTAGACTCTAAGAGCATTTGGTAAAGTTGTATTTCGAATTGAAAGTGTTGCTTTTGTTGATGGGATGAGCCCACAAAAAATTCTCAATAGAAAGTGAACAAAAGCTCATAAAAGTTTGAGATTAATCGGGGATTTGTGCACAATAATACACACACATGCCGCTGACGTGGTGTAGTTTGACTGTTTGTCCGTCATTTTGTTAAGGGGGCACATCATTATTATTGATTTACGTTAGTTCCCCGTTTAGGGAAGTGGTATTTTCGGTTCAATTTCCTATTCACTACCTGACGAATTAGTATTTTTATGCTTAAATTGTACCTATGTTTCTTTAAATGATAATGTTGTCCTACATGATTCTATAACTATGTTTTTCTATTTATCTTTGGTATGCTAACAATTCGGTTCATTATTATGTATGTATGTACTCGACTATGGTTTTTCCTTTCCTTGTTTTTTTCATTAGGTTTAGTTTTCAATTGATTCTATTGGTTTCTTTTCCTCTTATTTTATTCCCGTTGTAATATAAATTTGAATCTTTCCATGTGTATGATAAATTAAGGTAGAGAATAATATTTTTGCCATAGCCTGTTCTATTCCCGGTTCCATCAGGCGATATGATGTGTGATTACAATTGGAATTGCTTTTTTGGCAATCAAGTGAAGTAATCTTTCAATCTTTCAGTATAATTATTAAACTTAACTGAAATTTACTTCCATTTGACTCTGCAATAGGACATCTGTGCACTGGCAGAAAGTGGACACCATGAAAGATTTATATACTTTCTAAACTACTCATTTTCATGAAATATTTCGTATGTAAATACCTACCTATTAAATATTTAAAGGTAATAAACTCATGAATTATGTACTTATTAATTTGGCACGTTGGCTTCAATCACAGAAATCTTCTTTATTATATTTATGGCTTCAATGCTTGCTGATTTCCTCAATTCCGTATCTAATGGTAGTACCTATACCGCTAACTACCGCACTCAGAGACATTAATCGATTACTTAAACTGTTCCTTATTACCGATTTTGTTCCGAAAACAATTGCTATGGAGTGGATTAAGTTCTCAAAAGACTCTGAGTACCTACGGCCGTTTTTTAGTGGTCATTATACAGTGTGTACTGGTTTATATATTTGTCTAATTATAAAATGAACTGATATCAATGTATTGTATTGTACATCTTGTTCAGTGCGTTATAGCAAGAGGGCGGTATCTTCCTTGAATTAAGGCCATCACACACCTAGCTATAGCTATCTACCACAGACGGAAGATGTAGGTACTATAATTATATATTTTCGTTCTGCGATTTAAAAAAAAACGCCAAACATATACCCCCTTCCGCATGACTATCACAAAATATATTTCGTGAATATATTTTGGCGATGTCACAGAATTATGTTAGGTATACCGGTTTCTGTGTGGGGTCGCTTATAAAAAATTATATTGAAAATATGTGAAATAAACGTTGGTTTGTGATGTTGAAATGATAACACATTAGTAATAGACATTTAATATATTTAAAGCTTCACATTTAGAAATATTATGTACAATAGTAACACTTAGATACAAGTATAGATTATACAATATATCATTAACAATTGGATACAGAGTAAATAAATATACCTATTAGTTTAAATTATGATCTGTGTTCTATTATATACGGAGAACGAAAACGAACATTATCATGAAGTTAAAAGTCATCAGTTGGGTCTCTTCTATCAATGACTTGAACATGTTCATTTATTGAACATGTAATATGGCTACTGAAGAGATGCATTATATTTAACCCAGAGATACATAAATAGGTACATAATAACATAACATTATGCCTTTTATCCCCGAAGGGGTAGGCAGAGGTGTACATTATGCTACTGTACAATGTAACAGTCACTTTTCGCTGTTTATGTTATGAGTCCCATGTAATAGGGGGTGAGCCTATACATAATAATAAGAAATACATAAAACTTAGTTCAATAAATTTTTATCATTTATTGTAGCTTTTTTAAAAAGGAAAGTAAATGTATTATTATTATTACTTTGTGTTTTACGTGAAATTTCTTATTCGTAATTTGATAATTTCCAGTATCATTATAACATTACAATTTATTTTAAAAAGATACATACGAAGTTATAACGGCTATTACATTTACACTAGTTACATTAAATAATCTACGAAAATGTATTAAATATTCTACTGCGATACATTTATACACATTAAGCCACTACAGTACCTACCTACATAACATCTTACTTTTGAGAAAATTTAAAATTTTGACTAGAATTTTCTTTCATCAGTGTTTCCGAATTAATTTCCTTTAGTACTCGGTTATTTCTGGTACTACTTTAATTATTATACGTATCAGAATTTTAATTCAAATATTGAAAACATTACCTAGATATATAACAGTTACCTACTTATTAAATACTATGTAACATTGACAAACGAACTACAATTTTCTAATATTAGACACAGATAATGAGAACATAATATATCGAGGGGTAACGGGCTATTTGGTTTAAGCGACATTTTTGCAACTTTACAGGAGAGCCTTTTAAAGATAGAAATTTCGAAAAAAAATTCATAACAAAAACGCTTCTGCAGATATTTGAACGGGGTAAATTGCATTGAAATTTAAATAAAAATATCTAGTTGCTGATGCTAATTCCAAATAAAGCGGACCTTTAATTACAAAGATAAATGTCGCTTAATACAATCTGCCCTTTTTTAGAGTCAGGAAAAATGATTCGAAACGCCAAAAAAGTGCTCCGATTTTAATGAAACCGGCATCAATCGACGGAGAAAAATTCGCTGATTCCGAATATATATATAACTCAATATCGCCCAAAATGTCGCTTAAACCAAATAGCCCGTTACCCCTCGATATGTTTTATCAATTAATCATTTTATATTATTATTACATAAGATGTTGATGATAAGACAACGTCGTTGGGACCTTTTTTTTAAGGGTGGAAAATTATCGAATGACTCTTCCCACCTAGGTGAGGCGGGAGGGAGTGTCAGACTCTTACTGACCAAAAACCACCTCGTTCCTTCTCAGCTGCACTTCGAGCCGAAGCCCCGGTTACCTGTTAGGGTCTCCGCGACAATGTCGGGACCTTGTCTTAGATTTTAAATATTGGTTAAATGCCTAAAATATAATAATTAGCTAGGTAATTGCTATTACATAGATGACGATGACCAATTGCAAGCTTTGATCACCGACTAAAATATCCAACGTTATAAGGAAAATTCTTAAATCTGGAACTAGTACCTATGCGGATATTTGTCTGTGGACAGTACAGGCAAAATATCATATTTTCGTTATTTACATACACGTACCTACATTCAATATTTTTATTAATAGCTATGTACAGCAAGATGTTCTAACGGCAACAATACTTTTTCACCTACCTACTGAGAAGAAAGATTTATTGAATAATTTATTTAAATGTGAGTTTACATACCTTATTAAATGATTATGGTTATTGTGTTACTCTTTTTAGTTTCAGTCAAAACTAAAACGTGGACAGTATTAAAATTTGCTTTTGTTTAAGTACATACAGTAAATTGATTTTAATAGGTATATTATTCTTCAGTTCAGTTATAATGTTAATATTTATTATGCCATTTACTGTTGATATTCAGTTAATACCTACGAGATCGAATACGACAACGATAATTAAACAATGATACTACACATCGACAACAACATTCAATAATATTTTTCTAATAATTTTAATAAACCGATATTATAGGTACTATAAAAACGGAATGTTTTTCTTTTGCCTTTTTGGTGTGGTAACAATAACCCGGAATGGTGTAGGAGATCACACGATCACGAGAAGTGATTACCTACATAAAATATTGACACATTAGTTTCCCCTATAATTCAAATGTATTTCTTACGAAGGTGATAAAAACTAATCAAAATATTAATTACATATGTCGTCTATAATTTACTAAGCATATCTATTTAAAAACACCATTATGTAGTAGTATATCACATTATAGAACATACTTCTTTAAATGTTAAGGGCTACGTAAAGAATGGATACGCAATAATTAGACAGTGATTGAAGTTTAGTGTAAGGAAGTGCATGAATAGGAAACTTCAGTGATTTGTACCACACATATCTACTTCTTAACTACTCCTGCACTACGTTATTACTTTTTGGTAAACATCTACATACATGGAATTACTAATATATAATTAGTTAAAAAGGAATACTCTTCCAATATAATTTAGTAAGTTAATAATATGATACCAGTGAAAATTAAGACAACTATATGTACTAATGTTATCAATACAATAGTAACGAAAATTCATACGGGAAAAGTATACGATAATTTGTGTGGATAGTTATGGATTATAATATGATTAGATTATATATATGTATATGATTATGTTAGGATTTAAAATAAATCTTTATATATATATATGGTCTTGAATAATCTCGATTGCCTCTTAAAAATTGATAGTACATAGTAGCTTTATTATGAAAACGTTATTGGAAGAGCTGTTTAATAATGGCGTAATCATTAAACAGTTCTTTAATTATGGCGTAGGTGTTTAAAAATGGCGTAGTCATTATACAGCTCTTCCATTTGTATACATATCGGCTAGGATCCGTTCTATCGGGATGTCACCAACAGTAGCTCGGAAGAACAGCTCGACAATGGTAAAGCTTGGCACGTTCTTGATCATGGGTATCAGGCCCATGAGTCGGCTTGACCGGCGCAGCTGCAGTGGATATGCCCGGAGACAATACTGGAAACAAATTTTTGATATCATTCTCTGTAATCTTTAATTTATTACTTAATAGTTTTAACTATGACGTGTCGGTTAGATTGTTAGGCTTACCTCATTCAACATGAGCGTTGATTGTTCCTCGAGGAGCGCGACGGCGGCTACGTTCTGCAGTTTTTTATTCTCCGAGCCGGTGCTGTTGGGACTGCCGCCGCCGTCCTTGTCTAAGCGACTATTGAAAAGCATTATGGCCCGGAGGCAACCATATTCATTCGCATCCGGATTTAATAATGATATTTCTTCTAATGATTTTTCAAAGAATTCAATTTCTTTTTTATTAACTACAATTGAAATATTCCTATCTACTAGCATGTTTAAATCCATGGGGTAAAGAAATTGAGCAGCCCCTAGAATAAATAGATTTTTCCACGAGTTTTCTAAAAGGGCAAGTCTATCTTCCATGGAAAGATTGACGAATGCTGGAATGTTTCGTGACCACTTCACGTTCATGAAAAGCAGTCTAGCAGCTGATTCACAAATCGTTGATGGGTCGCTGGGCCTGAACATCGCCGGGTTTAAAATAGGTGGTGATGGCGGCATCGCCAGCATGGGCGTTATTGGACTATTAAATATGCCCATAGGTGGATAATTGTATGGATTGTATAATGGTAATGGTGGCGGCGGTACCAAGTTATGTTTTGGTAAGGCTAGGTTCAGCGGAGGAGGTCCTGCTACCGGTACCTCGGTGCCTGGCGGTGGATCTTTCAAAAAAAGCGCCATTTGGCGTCGTATGGTGGAATTTCGGGGACCCCTTTCGTGTTGAACGGCTGAAATATAAAACAATATTTGTATAATTCTTCTTGAAAAATCCCTACTTATGCTGCCGCACTGTGACGCCAAATGAGATATTTACCATTTTTGTTCATGCCAACCTTCAGGCATTTATCTAGGCGGCAGGCGCGGCATTGGTTTCTATGAGCCTTGTCGACGATGCAGCCGCCCGAGTTCCGTGCCTTGCACGAGTAGCGTCGGTCGCGTCGTACGGATCGCTTGAAGAAGCCCGCACAGCCATCGCAGGCAAATACACCGTAGTGCTTGCCTGAAGAATGATCGCTACACACCGCACACGGCACGTCGTACAGTATACGACCTGGAGGAAGAAACAATGTTCATTAAATTCTTAATAACATAATAAGGTATACTGAACCGGAGGTGGAAGTTGCTGCAAGTTTTGACAAACCTTAATGATAGATTAATCATTGTTGTTAGTACGCATAAAGGGATAAATTTATCAATATACTAATTACCTCTAATATTTTAACTTACGTAATTACGTATGTGTACATACACAAACGGCGAAATGTTGCACAAAACCTTAGAAAATAAATCATTCCAGTTTATCTACAATCCTATTGGTTAACATTTCTACGTTCCTCCACTCCGATCCCGCTGCTTCAATGTATAGGCAGTCTTAAGCTAATAAATCAAAGTGAGCTGACAGCATTGAGTGTTTGCGCCCGGCCATCCAGCCGCGATACCACCGGCCCCAGCTTGGAGCCCCGCCCACTGGTCGGGGATATCTCTAACTTATTGCCAGCGGTTTAGAAACATGGTGACTGTCAAGTAATGGGATTTAATTTCAGTATTTTAGACTAAATTATCATGTAGGATGTTACATTACACTTAAGCCTTTGTTATGACTGTCCTCGATGACTATGAACGTAGAATGTAATTTATCAAATGTATTTGTATAACTTCTTGGTTAAATCCGGTCTAACTTTGGGCAAAATTCCATACTACGAACTACTCTTAGGAATTTATAACAAAAAAAGTAATTTATGCTCTACCAGACCAATGAACCGAATTCCACAACACTCGGCACTCGCTTGTGATCGCTCTGGTAATAAGGTAGGTAGTAAATCAAATAGCTTTTACATTGTTAACTCGCTTGTTATCTTGTTAGTAACTTTATCGCGTAAATGACTGAGTAATGACTTGCTACGCTCCATATGAGAGATGCTACGCGCCGCGCTACGAGGCTCGCTACGGTTAGCGCCGACAATCATCACATGGCTGTGTTGTCTACGCGACTCGCTTGAGTACGAAGCTCACGGAGCTGTGTTATAAGAAACCTATATATAATTATATATATAGGTTACCGGTTAATGTGTAACCTATACATGTAGATAACCTATATATATAGGTTTCTTATAACACAGCTATAAAATATATTTAATAAAAAAATTATAAATATGTGTAGAGTAAAAAAGCATTACTGGTGCATTTTATTCACTAGTTTAATGATTCGCACACAATATGCGTCAGGAATTGACTTGCTTAAATAAAGTTCTATTTCGATTTATAATTTGACAATGTGTTTGGAGACCAGACAAGACAATTAGTACCCGTTGATAATTAGGCTCATAGCTATTTCAATGTGAATGACGACTGACGAGACATGGGTTCGTAATCAAGTACCTACATCTACTCTGATGCCTTTATCACAAATTGTGAATGATTGTCACAAGTGTAGTGATTACTGAGTGTGTAGTTACAGAGCTCGGTTTTTAGACAACACAAACATAATAAAAAATATATATATATAAAACGGAAAGGTTAAATGGCTCATATCCGGCACGGCTCCAAACCACCAATTAACTTGACACTTAAATATATCGTTTGTCTTATGATAGAATATATCATAATGTCAATACAAAACATATAAGAGCGCAGCCCGTGCGCTGACAGCGCCCTTACAACCTTTTCGTATCTATTGTTCCCAAATTAAAAAAACGCCGTAATGGGCTCCGTCACGGCGTATTAGAACCGTTCTTATTAAGTATGATATGACCTTAATAGTGTCACTATCGAGTTAGGGCTTTTGGATTAAATTCCTAAGTGAATTGAAGTTAAAGTTAGTTAACAATAAAATCTTGGGGCCTATTTATTAGTACTTGTAAGTAAGATATTAGTGGAATGTAAAGTGCTATGAATATAATGCACATATCGTCGGTGCGCCTACCAAAACTGTTATGTGCATTTAGTCACGTTTTCAGGAGGAGACAATAGACTATTTTTTACACTTGCACTGAAAGATTGATGGACTTAGCAATAAATTAAAAATGCAGAATAATGGCAAAAATTATGATAAAAATAACTGAGATAAAAGTAAAAATGATAACATGTACTGTTCATCCCCAATAATTTTATTTTCCATTTTGGTGCACATATCAGATTTATCTTAGAAAACGGTAAAAATTTTAAACAAAAACTGTTGATATTCAATCTGCCAAACTATTTATCATCATCAACAGCCTATGAATGCCCACTGCTGAGCAAAGCCTCTTCTCACACTGAGAAGGTTAGAGCGTTAATCACCACGCTTGCTCAATGCGGGTTGGTGATTTCAAACTTATAATTAGAAATTATATAAGTCCAGGTTTCCTCACGATGTTTTCCTTCACCGTTTGTCAGTGGTGTCTAAATAATCTTAGAAAGTACATATAACTCGGAAAAAGTCACATTGGTACTTGCCGTTGGTAGGTTTCGAACCCGCACCCTCATGCATGAGAAGTGGGCGTCTTAAACCTCCAGGCCACCACGACACTATTATAAGATTGGTCTAATCGATTTCTAGAGGGAAAAAACACGTATTTGTTTTTGTAATCGATGCGCTATCCGATTTGAAGGACATCTAGCTGAGAAAAAAAACTAAATATTTGCACATACATATATTATATGTATGTCAAACAAATCATTGTACCCATTGAAGTTCGAATAATTTATCATTAATTCAGTGAAGAAACGATGATTGCAGTGTCAAAATATTGTCGGGCAAGACTGCTTGTGAATGTATGGTTGTATGAATGAAAGCGGACTGTCGATGTCGGTAGCATAAGGTCGTGGTATTCATTGGGCTTTTATAAAAACTTTGGATGGTCGCACGAATTGCTTGTAATAGAAGACAAGCTGGTTGTGGGTTCCGTCCTCTAGTTTTTTGATGAAATGCCGATGTGACATATGTAGGTGATATTAGTTCCTATGTATGTCACATCGGCTTAATGAATCTGTTAGCGATTTACTTATCTAGCTTTGATAATTTAACAAAACATACCAACTAAATGACAATTCATTACATAGTTGAAACGCCACCGCGGAGTTCTAGTCTTTCTTATTTTTTTATGCGCTCTATCATCAAATATAACTAGATACAATTAGACTTTTAGTTACAAAACAAACTTATAACTTATAATCATCCTATAACTTGTGTACATATATTGACACGGTACTCTAAAATCAATACAAAACATTGCTTGATCCCACGGCTGGGAAGATAAGACCCTGTATTGTCCCAAAGCGAACAGTCAAAAAGGCATAAAGGCAAACTGAATAAGACATCCCACAATGAATGCGTGAATACACTTGCGATGCAGGAAACGCGGTGTCGAGTGTTCAGTAAGAAATGCTAAACAAAACTTGAAGGAGAGCTGGGACAATATCGCCGAGATAGATAATTATACGTTCCAGTTTAAAGACAACTTAATATTATTATAAAAGCTCTTCACAATGCGAATAGTGTACTGCCTGCTTTTTTGCCCCTCTACTTGTCGTTTTCACTACTGTATGTGTGTATACGTTCTTAAATAAATATATGGGAAAATAAGCTTTAAAATAAAACAGACATTATTGAAAAGTTCATTGAAACGTGAACTGACTATTTCAGAGCGTGGAAGCGCTGTACATATTTACCTACTACAGGCAAAAGGTTTTCATTAAGTGTTGCCAATTTTAAAGTGACTGACAGTTCAGTGATTTTATTGCGCGAAACTATCAATATTTTTTTTTTATTTAACTATTCCTAAAAACATAATTTCGTCATCATAAACGTTAAAAACGTTGTTAGGTTAGGTTTAATAGGCTCATCATTCGATTTTTATCAACCGTGCGAATGCCCACCTGTGTAAAATGGACCCCGGCGTGTGTGATCCCATGGCGTGACTGCCGTAACTTAGGGTCAAAACAAACGCATGATGATTATTAATCAAGGATGTTATTTAAATAACAATTTATTGGAAATATCTCGCGTATTGAGTTCCCACATCAATTTTGGTGTGACTTTTGTTGATAGGTAATGTGAACCCTACTTGTGAATATGATATGTGGTTATTGTTCAAAACGGAACTTGTGATAATAGGTAGGTAAGTACTAGGTACTAGGTAGGTTTAAAAGATTGTATTCATCTACCTACCTCAAATTATTCTATTTTATTACCGACTTCAAAAAAGGAGGAGGTATTATGTTCGGCTGATTGTTTTTTTTTTAAGTTTTGTTTGCACTGCTTATAATACTGTCAGTTAGTACCTAATTTATATTTATCATAAAATTAAATAAATAAGTATTTCCATTAAATTTTTTTTTATTAAAATGAAATACTACAGTCATCATGAAATCAGAAGACGTAACATTTTCAAGTTAAGTTTGTATTTAATCTAAATTTGCGTTAACTTGTAAATAATGTTATTCGTGTTATTGGAATAATTTAGTTCGCTAAGTATGTTATTTCATTAATTGAATATAAACGATAAATACATTGAAAATATTAGAATCATAAAAAAGAAATGCAATAAACGGTATTACTACTGGGACATTTCGCGTTCCACGGGGTGGGGGTGTAAACGGCGGCAGATGCGCGTGCGCACCTCGTGGGAATAACGCTGATGGGTCAAATTGGCTGGGACACGTCATCTCATACATTGATAATTAACTGCTGATGAATGTGGAGGCAAAATATACGGTAATAAAACAATATATTAATGTCCGGTGTATTTATTAAGTTTGAGCTATTTGTATTGAATGACGGATAACGGTTATTAATACTAACTAGATGTATATTTGGTTAACTATTAATTAAAGTAATTTGAACTTAAGTACTCACTTGACGAAGCCGATACGGAATGCATTGTCGACGTGCTATTTCGTCACCATATCTGCAAAGAAAACATTCAAATATTTAAAAGGTATTCGGAGCTTAAGAAACATTTTCACACAAGAACGATCGCGAGAAATAATTTTCAAGTGCAAATCTTTCGGTTGCGGTTTTCAAGAGCACTCGACACTCAATGTATAGAAAGGAATCAATCAAGAATAGCAACAAATGTAAGAAAATAAAGTTCTATTGTATTTTGGCTTTGTGGCTGACATCTTTTGGTCACAAAGCTGAGAGCTACTCGTATTTTTGTTCATTATTTCTATTGTTCTAGTAGCCACTTTGTATAAACGGCTATTGCAGAGCCATGAAGTGCTACCGTTTGGTTTAGAACACTTACAATCATTGTGCTACAATGTGCGTGTGAACGGAATTGTACTTTTATTGATATATTAATTATTCGCTTTTGTACATATTCATATTAGATGGTTTGGTATTGAAGTAAAATTCTTGACGGCTTTAATTGTTGAGAAATGAAATAAATTAGAGTTATTAATATGTTTATACAAATTTAAAATGAATAAAAAAAAGTTACGTTAGTAAATAGAATAGACATTGTTTTATTATGGTAATCAATTATATAATTGTTATAATAAATAATTTTAGATGTAGCCTATTATTGTACAATTATTAAAAAAATGCCTAATAATGTAATAAACTTTGTGTACTTATCTTTGAAATAAAACATAGTTATTCAATAGCAAAATACTATTTAACAAGCGATATTTGAAGACCAGAAGTTACACAGATATAAAGCATTCTTAGAAATCAAACAATTGACGTTTTGTTTGCATCGAGAAAGAACGTTTGGTCCCAACAGAACAGTAGCAGTTTGTCACTCTTTTATCTGTCGGTCACTTAGATGTTGGATTGCATACTTTTTGCAAACGTAATTATGGACTCGCAAAACAGGTAATTAGTTTCGGATAATCCCTGTAAGTATCGGGATAAAGGATCGGATGAGTTCGGTCGAAAAGACCTGGTGCGCGCCCGAGGGTTAACAACAAAAGCGAAACCAATAATAACATCGGAAAGTCGGTAGCTTCTTGCTTTCAAAATTGAGATGGCGCAAAAAATTACTGCTAATACGTTTTTTGAATGTTTGGGACTAAATAGCGGAGAGAATTTGCGGACCGACATCTTTTTTTTTTTGCTTGACTTTATGCAGCTGTTGTAATAACAAACATGTCTTGTATGGGTATATTAATCTGTAATATTTAGAGAGTAATGCATTTTGATGGGCCGCCGTTTGAATGTGAATCCCGACAAATTTTCAGTGTTAAAAAGGGGCTGGGAGATTTGTTGGAATGTAGCGAATATGTTATAACACGTGAGAGAAAAAGCAATTAAAATAATGTTTATTAAATATGAACTTCTAATGGGTTAGGAGTTAGGACCGATGGACTACGCCTGTAATTTAAAAAAAATGACTTAAGACATTCTAGAAACTGTAAACAGTTTAAAACACCTAAAATTATTATGAACAATCACACTAAAGTTAATAAATATCGAAAGACAACAATAAGTAGGTAAATAGATATTACTGTCTAACTTTTAATTTTTAACTTTCATAATGTAAATAAACAGTAAATTATAATGTTATATTTTACATTCTTATTACTAAGTCTAACTTAAGTCAAGAATACAAACATAACTGTTAATAAATTAAAATTAAAGAAATCAATACAAAGTGACTTACACTGCTTTACAGGTATTCTTGTGTAATGCTAACGAAGGCTGATAAGAGACGTGTTGACGTGTTAAAACAATTAAAAATTAAGGCAGCAGGCGTGACGCTAGAGCATTAATACGAAACCTTAACAACTTGACAAATAACCGAATATTAATTTCAGCATTAACGGCACTCGGTTATAGTTTCCTATCGAGAAATTCATTTAACGCAACCTCCAACAAATTATATTTGCGTGTTATTATTGATTAGCAAATTTAACTGGTTTTCATTATGTTGGCTGTTCAGTACTTTAGTCCTAGTTCTAGATATAACTTTTTTGCTTTAAACACAGGATATTTGTTCTTTAACTTTAATAAAACTCATGAATTAGCTAAATGAATTATTTCCTCTTTCCTAAGTCTTTAGAAATCTAGACACTCCTTCCTATTTTATGACCAGTTGTGGTGTTAAGGGTTTCATACGTCAGCCTGTCACTTTATCACCAGTGTCGGAAGAATATAATATTCTTACATTTATCTAAGCACAATACATCTGACATATTGTAAACCTCTTTCTCACCCGAAGATAGGTTGACCAAACCACCACGTTTGCTCAAGGCTGACTAGCGATTTCTAACTTAATTACAGTACGAAAAAAAACTTAAGCCCAGTTTCCTTACAATGTTTTTTTTCACCATTTGTCAGTGATGTTTAATCAGAAAGTTTCATATAACTTTGGGAAAGTGACAGTTTGGAACTCGCGTCTCTCCCCCCCGTCGCTCCCCTCATCGGTCAGAAGAGGTTAGAATTGAGTCACATAGACTTCTGAGCCTCCAAAGTGCTCCCCACAGTGCTAATGAGACGAAAATAATTTGGAAAAAACCTTAGCATTGATTTGCCCTTATATTTTTACGGGGTATAAAAGTTAATTGACCATAGTGTACTGAGAAATTCGCGAAGTATCTATCATGTGGGTGTTTCAACGTTACGGCAAATTTTAAAGGTTTGCAACCAATTTGCCTCATTACCACTTTTGCACTTTGTGAGATATATCGAACACAATTCAATTCTAAGATGTTCTATCGACATTTTTACGACATCAACAAGTACCTAGAATAACATCTTTTATATAATATTCCTTGAAGAAGTCTACAATAGGTACTAATTGAGGGTTTCATTCAAAATGTCTGATTTGATTTTTGTTAGTCTAATTGATGACTATTTTAATGTATCATCCATAATGGTAGGTCGGAAACGTTTCAAAATATGAACGATTTAAGTAACTTAGTTAGCCATAAATTTCCATTTTAAGTTTATAGATGCCATGTATGTATGCATACGAGCGTTTTGCCAAATTCGGGCCACCATATCAAATACTCCTCCTCTATTTAGATGTATTTAGTTATCATCAGCATTAATGAAAAAACCAGTACTGCATGTTAAACTGAAATCGAACTCAAACCCCTTAGTCGACATCTTGACTGATTCGTTGCTGAAGGTTGTAACCAGTAAGTGGTCTCAAGTTCTATTCCCATTTTTTTAATGTAAGATTAATTCAAAAGTGCCGCAAATAATCTATCACATGAGACAGGACATGGTATGGAACTAGTTTTCATAGTTGTCATCATACCAATTCCGATAACACACAATGCACTAAAGCCTATTATTTGAGCTGTGGCCGGGATTGGTAACAATATTATAGTCCAGTGACTCTACAATAACTGTTACCTGTGATATAATACATATTCCTCATAATAATTGTGTTGCGTTCATTTCTTCAAATGTTGCGGCTTTATTCGGAACTCCGTATTAATCTAGATTATAACTAGGAAAATACATTGAGCTGGTTATGCACATTATTATCTACTTTCACTTGGAATTCAAATAGAATAGTTTGTCGACGAACTAGCTGGGATACAGCTCGATTTATAACTAAGTACCTATTTATATTGAACAGATTCATTTCAGTTTAAAACTGTTCATCGTAACCAACGTTTAGTTGGTGAATTTAGAAAACTTATTTATTAATAAATAATGATTTCTGTTTATACGAAATCCGACCGTGTTGTGCACAATTTATTTCACAGTTAGCGAATTGTTTGGAGAGATGGATGGATGGACTCGACTACTAAAAAGGTTTCTAGCCAAGAAGTAGATGTATACATTTTCCTTTTATCATTCAAATTTCTACATACCTATTAAGGTGTGGGAGAGCCATGCTTCGGCACGAATGAGTCGGCTCGACCGGAGTGATACCACGGCCTCACAGAAAGCCTACGTGAAACAACCCTTACGTTGTATTTCGTCGTGTGAGTGAGATAACCGGAGGCCCAATTATCCCCCTCTACAGTCTCCCGAATCCCCGAATCCTCCACTATCCTCAAATTCCCAATTCTCAAAAAGTCGGTAACGCACTTGTAACGTCTTAGTGTTCCAGGTATCAATGGGCAACGACGATTGCATAGCTTCAGGTGATCCGTCTGCTCGTTTATCGGCTTATGCCATAAAAAAACCTGTACATAATTATATAGGTGCAGACGTAACCGAAAGTTGGACAGTTAAAAATGTAAGGCTTCTCTAGCAAGAGTTGCAAAGTTTATACGACTATTATACGTGTTAAGTCACCTGCATATTTGTTAGGAAAGAGTTCTTAGTCCACATCGTTTAAAAGTTTCGCGACGACTGTCGTTCCTTTCTATTGTGGAACTATATGTAAGTAGTTTGTTAAAAAGTACTTCCTAACATGCATCGGTAGATAGTCAATGCTTACAGCTTTATTCTGCACTCAAACTTATATTTAAGTTCTTGTATAGGTATGAATGTATGTAATTTGTCAACATATAGCTTATGAATATGCAACGCACAACTGAATGTCATTGGAGAATTACTTGAAAAAAGACAGGGAATGATACGGTGTGAGGACCCAATCCCCAATAGATAGGCACCGAACTTGTAACGCCTTCAGCATTATAATTGTCCGTGAGAGACGCTGATTGTTTACCATCAGGTAATCCGCTTGTTTACCGTCAGCTTGTTTGCCGCCATATAATAAAAGGTTTGAATCAATTGATATTTTATTTCTAAGCAAGAACATTTTCCGAAATCAACAACCAACTCAAGTAATTCTGTAATTTAAATTCATGCTATGTTTGTATACTTGGTAGCTTTAAGTTTGCCCCATTGTTATTGCTAAGTAGATTTATGGTAATCTGTGGCATCGTCGTGAGGAGTGCATTTGTTAAATCTATTATTTTATTCACTCGTGTTATATTTAATATAGTGCTGTTTGTTGTCCTTGATAAA